CCAAAATATTGTCTTAGTATGTTTAAAGTTTAATATTTTGCACAAAATATATGAATAATGCAACTCTAATAGGGTAAACGTTTCTTCTTTTGACAAAGAAAACGGTAATATGAACAATATAAAGAAGGTTAAAAAGATTTTGAAACCCTAATAGTAAAAAGTGCAAACTTTTTTATTTAATTAGGAACATTAAAAAATTTAATTAGAATTTAATTTATTTTTAAAAATATAAAATTGTAATTACATAATAACATTTTATTTAAAAAGGCATAAATTTTATTTATATAAAAAAATTATATACATTTTACATATACTAATTAGATTATCAGCTATGCCAAATAACTCTAATTTAGTAAGTTAAGCTTAAATTTATGTATTAAAACTTATCAAGAAACTTAAAGGTTATTTTTCTTAAAACTTACTTGAAAACTTGATAAAAAGAAATAGGCTTAATTAGTGATATTTTATTTCTAAATTTAGACTTTTCATTTATTTTGGTATCTATATATATATTTTTATTTAATTGAATGTTTATTTTTCTTAAAATAAATCAATCAAGTCTCTGTCTAAAAATTCAATGGTTTCTTATGTTAAATTTGAGTTGATCATATTTTAAAATTTAGGTTATTTTTTGTTTTGAAATTGTCACGTGTTAAGATTTTAGCCTATCAGAAGATGATACATATTTTGACATGAGTTAGATCTAGATTTTGACATATCATACTTTTTTGATAGTGTTAACGTGAATTTAACATAAGAGATTACATTAAGTTATTCTATAAAAATAAAGATTCAATTGGGTCAACATCAAATATAAGAATAAAAACAAATAAAAAATATTTAAATAGAGGTCTAAATTATTATTGAAGCCAAAGAAATTGAATTTAAAAATAAAGTTTGGAAAATATTAAAGAGTAAAAATGAGAAGAAAGCATATGTCGTTAAGTGCGTAACATTGAGGGTAACAAATAACCATAGTGAAGCAATGGTCCCCTTCATCACTTCATGACAATTAAAAGAGGCCTTCGACTGGTGTGCATCATGCCTAGTCATTTGACCAATAAGCTCAAGAGAGGATCACATTCCAAATCCTTCGTGGCGATGGATTTCTCAGGTGAGCAAAAAAAAATGTGCTTTTATGGTTAATTAGGTTCATAAAAGATCTTTACCATTCTCTATTTATTACTATTATCATAATAGGTGTTCTTGGCCTTACACCAATGCCAATATTCATAAAACAATGAGAAACAGAATCTTGTGTTTTTTCAATGGTCAAATCTTGGTGGGGAAAAAAAGGAAACATGTCGGATATATTTATTGCACACACCAAACTTTTCGGGTTACTTAATGTTTGTATACACGTGTCGGTTTCCTTCCACATAGATACATATTCAGACAATGGCTTCAACTTTCTACTTCTTCACAACATGTATTTTGTGTTTGGCTTCAAAACAGCCACATCAAACACCTCCTTCAATGATTGCCACCGACATGTAGTTTTACTTCAACTACTCCGTTTTAACTATACTAATTTTCCCCTCTGTTCAATGTAACCATTACAATAATGTTTTTTTAACCATGATATCATTTAAAAACCACAAGTAAGATTAAATGCTTGTTTTTTTGGACTATAAGAAATCTGGGTCCAATAATTTTCTGGCCTTGTGTCCTTCGCTGGTCCACGAAACGCGGGTTGATAATTGTCATGGTGAGTGATGTTCTTGAGCACAGTGATTATAGGAAAAATAAATGTGAAATTGTTGGGTTTAGAAAAAAAAATCAGTTTATGAATGAATTATGAATAAAAATGTGCTTGATTGATGGTTTTACCCTTTGAAATCTTATTAACTAGTTTTAGTAAACATATTCTAAAGTGTTTAGTGGGCTAATGAGTTAGTTAATTTGAAGTGGTTTATTTTTAGAAAATGATTAAAATAGCTTAGGGAAATTAAAAAAAAAAAGTTCTAAAATAGGCATATATCATATAAGAGTATTCCGATCAAAATAGTATGGTATAAAATAATCAAAATAACTTATATAGCTTACCCTACAAATTCCATGATGTGATTGTGTGTTGTTAGCTGTAATCAATCAATGGCTGTCATCTACACCAATTTGAGGAAACGATGTTTACATGGAAGAGATGTATAACAAGATTTTTGTCAAACATTCTTCCATTGACAATGTAACTTTCATTATATAAAGGTGGAAGCTGAAGGTAGTGATTGATGCTGTAGTTTGTGTGTAAAATGTAGCATGATTGAAGGGTAGGTCAGTACTTGTATAGCTCATGGGGTAGTCTCTCTTAAGAAAGGAAAGTTATGCCACACATTTGATGTAGGGTCTAAATAGCTGCAACATTGATTATGGAATGGGGCACCTGCAACACTTATCTAACCTTTTCTATTAAAGGCGTGCCCTTTTCTTTTGCATTTGCAGAATTTTACTTTTAGTTTAATTCAACAAGAAAAAAAGAAAATTATCTCTCTAGGGTAAGATAATCAAATCACTTTTATTTTATGAGCACCCACAATTGTCTTTACCTTGATTCTCTTCTTTTTCTTCTTTCTGTTGATGTTGTATTCAACATTAGTGTGTGGAAAGAGCAATCATATGCATCTATTAAATTTTCACTTTACAAAAAGAGGAAAAGGAGTGATCATGTGCCACTATGAAGACCTGATATCAGAAAACTAAATGTTTTGCCTTGAAGTCAGAGAAAGTTGGGACCATTAGCACAATAAATTTTCCATATACTCCTCGATCAAGAAATTATATATAGGTTTAAGTCATTAATATAATAGCATTAACTGGGACAGCTCCTGAAAGCAAATAGAGAACTTAACATGTTAAAAAGAGGCCAGTGCAGTAGTGCTGCTGCTGGCTTCATATATGCATCTAAGTTTAATTTGGTTAGTGCGGTTGGTGGAAGAACTAAGCTCCCAATAATGCTTTGACAAGAACTCATAAAGAAACAGTAACATTAGATTGTGTTATTCATGTTTAGATATTTTTTTTTTCTTCTGAAAAACGTAATGTTAGTAAAAATAGGTATGTTAGTGTTGTTAAAGTTGTGAGAATAATAAATATTTACAGAGAATCAGATTATGCACAATCTCAAAAGGTAATTAATTAAACTTTACTTTTGCTTTTAGGTAAGAAAATAATGATTCAGCTGCAAAATTATCAAACACTGGTGACACAAATTTTGAACCACATTGAGACTGAAACATGATTTTACAGGTTCGTAAAGGTTTCTGGCATGCGACCACAAAGGCCTGGTGCTATAGTAAGTACTGAAAATTAACCAGAAAAATTGAAACCACTAGTCTTGCCTACCCCACTAGGAAAGTTTGTTTGTTGTCTAAATAAAAGATCTGTAGATGATATTAGCCAACATGTGCTCACGCTTTGGCTGGTTGAACTGACTTGGTAGTAAAATGGGCAGGCAAAGCCAGCCACCTGCAACTGCCAATGAATCATCAATTCTGGAAGTGCATTTGCTCTTCCAACCATTACTTCCTCATCTCTGTCTATTTCATTCACATTGTATCAACCACCAATAGTTCACATTCATTTTTATGAGGCACAGTACAAGATTAGGTACATGTTTGGATAAAAATTTACGTATTTAGTAAAAAAATTGGTTTTTTTTAAAAAAAGATTGAATTAGGTTGAAAACCACATTTAAAGACTAACTTCTACAAAATGAGTTTTCACACAATTTTTATAGACAAAGATAGTTTTATAGATAACCAAAGTCGTTATTAAACAAACATCCCAAACATATAGGAAGTTCGACGACGTTATAAGAAATAACTAGCTTTGAATCCCAAGTGAAAACAAGTCTCGTACCTTAGGTTGAGACAACCTCGTACAACCGAAGGTCAACAAAAATATAAAACTAGACAAACAAGTCATGACCAACTGTTCTGCTGTTTCAAGTTTTTGGCCTCTCAATTCATAATCACCTTCATGACTAGTGAGACTTTGCTGCCAAGGTTCGAGCATGGGAATCAAAGGTGGTGGTCAGACCAGTTGTTTAGATCTCAAACATGTCACGTTTACGCAATACACTAGCCAGAAGACAAATTGGCTATATACAAAGTACTTAGGTTAAGTTCATATGTCTACCACTGAACATGAGATTGTCAACGAAGGTATATTGTTCAGTTTGACAATGAAAATTACCTTTGTCATTTTGTGGACTTTTGTGCGAAGCTACTGAGCAGTGGATGATTATTATTACAAGCACATGCATGGTGCTTCTCGAAACCTGACCTCTTATTTTGTTATTATTATTCAAAATAATGAGGGTTAACATCTCGTACTCGAAACCTATTGAATTGAAAATCAAGTTCAAAATAGTAAGTGCAAGCAATTAATATATCTAAATGTGTTCCATAATTTAGTGTGGATTAGTCGACATATCATTGTCTGTGCTCTAAATTCTCATTTCCTTGCCGTCCAAAAGCAGGAATAATAGTGTGCTTGGAACCAATAACTGATCATCGTTTGGGACAATGTCTTCCACAAAAAGTAAATTTTAGAAGTTTGGTCCCAGGCAAAAAGAAGAAAATAAATGACAATTCTACACTTAATTGGCACATGATGGAAGCACAACCCAATTAATTAAGACCAAAACTACATTGAGAATAAAATATTTACACTAAAGTCAACAAAATTAAAGCCACCAGCAGAAGATAACATTACAAATGAGCGTACCCCACAAGCACAAGGGCAAGGGCATCATGAAAAATTTACATAATGGGAACAAAATGGCCCTTCAAACATATTTGCGACGAACAGCTCAGCTTTTCACCCCAATCAGATCTATATTGTAATCTTTCTTCAACGCCATTTGGATCTGCGACTGGTTGAAAGAGAAACAATTCATTAGACTAGTTCATGTGCGCATTAAATAAACAGAGAGGTAATTTATCAATTCTTTAACCAAGATATTTAAGGGGTTAACAGCTAAGAATATCACTGCAAATGCATGACAACAAAGAACAACTTATATTCAACTCTTAATCCAAAGATTCCTGAAATAACCAAACACATGAAATTGACAAACTAACAGGATAAAGATTCTCAAATAGAGAACTACTGTGAATAGTCCCTGTTTGTATATATAAAAATACGAAAAAGATGACCACACTTTCCACTTATCCAGTAAGATTAATTTATATAAAACATATGGTAGGGGCCAGCAGGGAGACAAACATGTACTGTGGTTTGAAAGTGACTCCTTGAAGGTAGGGATGCTTGTAACGATGGTCTGTCTGAAGCAACCCTAAGATTAGCCAATTTTGCAGATCATACCCCTGATTGGGAGGCACTCCATCATACAACTTATGTAGCACCGTGATAATTGTCCATTTATATAGTTTGGAGGGTCTCCTTTTTAGTTTAAAAACACTGGGTTTACTCGCATAGATGTAAGATCTGAAGAACATACCATAAAAGGATGCAATTTCAAAAGGAATTTAAATTTATAATTATATATCAAGATTTTGACATGCAATTGCTACTTTTGCAGATCTAGCAATTAACTACAACCTAAAATATCAATATTCAACAAAACTATGATTTGAACACTAACTTCACTTCAAGGTTTATTCTCTTTAACCTTGACTCTCTTCCCTGCTGCAATTCTTCAAAATGGTAGGCTCTTTGAAGTAGAACTTGAGGTGAGTGACTTAAAATGATCCGATGGCACAATATCGTGAGGCAAATTGGCCCTTTTTACAATTTTCCTCATGTTGTTCTGCAAACTCTGTTGGACTAGTTGCTTCACTGCTTTCTTCTCCTCACTCATCATATCTTCCTCCTCGTCAAAACACTCCCTCCCTCCGTCGTCCGGCTTCGCGGACGAAGAGCCGCTAATAGGGGCAGAGACAGCAGCACCCAAGCCATAGCTCCCAGAAATCTGTTTCCCTTTGTCTACCCTCAAAATTTCTAGTATCCTTGATGCCCTTTTCTGAGCTAATGTGGTACCCAAAAGGGACAACTCAAGCAGTGATGACGCAATCCCTGCCTCAATCATGGCCTGTTTGTCCCCATAAGACCTGTGTGCCATAACCATCAAAATGTAGGACGCCTTCTCCTGGCATTCTGGTGAATCTGTCCAATTCAACACATCCACCAGGATCGGAATCGAATCTTGCACTGCACTAATCGCCTTTCTACCCTCTCGGGTCGACACCAAGTTGCTGAGAATCGCAAGGGCTCTTTCAGTTACCTCCATGTCCCCTATTGAATTCACCAGAAACAGAACCAAAGTTGTTTCCAAAACAAATGCAACATTGGCTGGGTAGATCGAAAGATTGTACAATGCCCGTAAAGCATCTTGCTTGGCTTGGGGACTACTCTTGTCATCTAAACTCTGAAGGGTTCTAACTAAGAAAGAAATTGAAGCCGAAGACCCAATTATGGGCTTATTCGAATCCAACGCACTAAGTCCAAGGAAATTCGCAACAATTGCTTCAGAAACCGAAGAATCTAGACCATCTGGAGATTCAATCAGCTTCAGCATCTTCTCAACTGACCCAACTTTCACAATAGCTGCTTTATTCCTGTTAAAACACAGCAAAATAAAATAAAATAAAATAAATCAATAACTTTACCGTTAATCACGAAGAACGCCAACAACATCATGTGTAGAGAACCGCAAATTAATCATAGACCATTTATATACGTATATAAGTACACCCAACATATTAAACAGAAGATAAAAGGATTGTCGAACTTATATTGCTAATCACATAAAGTTACAGTCAAAGATTTCAAGAAACAATTCACAGGCAACATCATGTGCAGAACGGCAAAATGATCGAGAAATATCTATACAACTAAAAAAATTAATAATCAAAATTAGTCTAACATATTCAAGAAACAGTGAAAGGCCACACAATGTGCACAACTGGAAAGTAAAGAAAAAATTATTTATATATACTCATGTAAAGAAATTGTTTGATTCATGCAAAGTAGAAATGTAAAACAAAAAATAAAAAACTAACAAAACGAACCTGTCATTTTAACAATTAAATGAGCAAAGAGCAACGAAGGATTTACAGGCAAAGACACGACTTTAAAAGAAAATTAAAAATAATCAGAAAAGAAGAGAGAGAAGATCATATGAGAAGAGACGTATCACATTAATGAATAGCCTAACCAAAAACAAAAACAAAAATGTTAATAGAAAATGACACCTCGTAATGATTCATCCAAGCAAAGATGAAAAAACAAAACGTTAGGAAAACAGAAAAAAAAAGAACAGGAAGAGAAACCGACGCGTCGTTTCCGATTCCGAGGTTGAGCAGCGCGTAGAGAGAAGCAACGAGCGAATCGACGTCGTTTTTGGATTCATCGAGCATTGCGGCGAGAGGAGGAATAGCTCCAAGCATCGCGAGCGTCCCTCTAACTTCCAAATCCTCTTTGGCTAGCAACCTCACTTTCGAAGCAGCTTCTCTTCTCCGCGTCATTGATTCTTCTTCCTTCTCTTCCTCATCTTCCTTATGAAGCTCCTTCACTAGGCTCTTCAGCTCCTCGAGTTTGTCCTCTTTCTTCTTCGTTTCCGCGTCAGCTTCGACCTCGGCCAGGTTCAGCAGATCCGAGAGCTTCTCCGACTTCGCGTTATTCGGCTTCGTCTTGTGCCGGTGCTGTTGTTTCGGTTGGTGGTAGTGTCTCTCGGAGGACGTGTCCGATCTCTCGGCGTAGCGGGAGCTGGCGCCGCAGCTGACGGCATTGAAGACCAGGCGGCGGAAGGAGGTGGTGGAGAGGGAGTGCCATAGGCGGAAGTGGCCACCGGCGACGGAGGTGCTCTTGGAACGGTGGTGGCCAAGGACCACGTTCTCGACGTTGTTACGGTGGAAGTTTGCCATCTCCGGCGAACTACATTGCAGAGAGAGAAAAAAAACGAGAGAGAGAAGAGAGTGTGTTTTTTTTTTTCTTGTTTTTGTTTGAGTGGGAACTTTGTAGAGAGAGAAGGGACCGTTGAGTCCACGTTTTTGCGTCCTCTTCAATATTTATAGTTGCCCCAAAGAACGTGTTTGTGTGAAAAAGCGTGACTGTTAGCATGCTTCTCACGCACACTAACACTGATTTTGTTAAATTAGTTTAACGGAGAAGAAACTTATCATCCACATTTATTATTTTTTATAAAAGTATCTTAAAATAAGTTTTATTATATTATTTTAAATTTTTCTCCTAATTTATTGGTTGTTCAAAAAAAGTTAACTTTTTAAATGAAATTATTATTTTTCTCTATTTCTAGATCAATTATAAAAACTTTTCGCCTTATTATGAATTATTAGAGTAAGGCATTGTTAATTGAATGTAAAAATTGGTGGTTATAGTACACCATAAAATTAATAAAATTAAAAGAAAATGCAAGTCTCGTAATTCCTGAATATTAAATTTTAGATTAATTCCCTTTACTTATTTACATAAGTGATAACAGCCACAATAAATAATTTCTTACAATGGGATTCATTAATCTTGGTTGGATACAATAAATTTACTATCAATAACAGTTTCTAAAACAATAATTTACTTTATTCTTTATATGTAATAATTTCTTACAATGGAATTCATTAATCTTGGTTGGATACAATAAATTTATTATCGATAACAGTTTTTAAAACAATAATTTACTTTATTCTTTCTATGTATAAGATAAAATCAAAGTGATTACCATGAATAGGGAAAATAAAATTTGTTATTTTCTCTACATGCTAATTTATTTTATGCATTATTTTGATGAAAAACAATCTTCGGTGATATTTATATATTTTGGTAAAGAGAAATAATTCTTTATAAAGAATCGTCAATGTTTAAGATAATAGATTATCTTATTATATTGTTTGAAGAAAAAACAACCTCTCAAAATATGTTTTTCAAGAAAAAAAAATACAATCTTTCACAATTTCTTGAATAAATACACCTTTTTCATAAAAAAACATTTCATTTGTATTTTTAATGGAAAACATACATTTCTACAAAAATATACAATCTTTTATTTATTTGAAATTTTCTAAAAAAAGAAAATATACCTTTTCATTAGCTTTAAAATCTCTAATGTTATTCAAGGTATTGTTAATTCAGGAGAAATAGCAAAATAAAAAAAATATACGTATCAATGAAAATAACAAAAAATATTAAAGTTAACAAAAAATTTTAAAAATATTTATACAAAAATATTTTACTCAGAATTTTTCAATGATAAAATATTAAAACTTAAAATTAAATCTATAGATCAAATTTATAACTTAATTTTAAATTTGTTTAACGTAAACTCGACATGTACTTAATCATCATTAATATATAATAAAGACTGTTTCGTTAGTTTTTATTAATTTAAGAATTTTATTAGTGGACAGTTCATAATTCATAAATATCTTATGAAAATAAGATAAATAATTTTTTTTACAAACTCAATTTAGCTTAACGCTCTTACAAAAGAAAAATTAAAAAAATATATATTAAATTTTTGTAATAAATTAAAATTAATTAATTTAAGTTAATTCATAAAAAAATTCAAAAACTTCTTTTAGAATCTATTTTTTAAGTTGTATATATAACCTATTTTGTATAAAGAAATTTATTTTATTTTTATTTTTTAAAAAAATCTTATTAAAATTATTTATATAGAGTCATTATCTATAACTTCTTTAATTCTTTAAGAAATATCTTATCTCCATTCCTTCTTTTAAAATTTATTTATTGAAGTTTAAAATGCTCTTAGTTCCTATACATAATAAACATACTTTTGCTTTCGTTTGTTTGGTAACTTTTTTAAGTTTCTTAAAATAAAAAAAATTATTATTGTTTATTTCTAATGTTATATAATATTTATTAATTACTTGTTAAACCAAAAAATAAAATAACATTTTTAAATGATATTTACAAGTGTTATCAACAGATAATATTCTTAAAAGTAAATTTAATAAATAGAATATATATTATTTACTTATCATAAATACATATTAAAAAATAAAATTAATAATTTTATATTTTTGAAAATTAAAACTTTCTTATTATAGAATAAAAAATATATGTTTTGAGGTAAAAGAAAAATACTTTTATCATCTAAACAAAACGAATGAGATTGCAACTATAAAAAGAAAAATAGGGACGAAATTCTTAACGTAGACAAAAGACGCCACGTGGAGTGTACTATTGTGTGCGTTGTACAAACATTGTGGCTATTGCAGGCCAGCTAATCGTGTGGAGCAAAGAAGTTTCCTGTGGGCCCTATAGTTTTGTCAGCACGGGACCCACATAATGTTGTAGATAAGCGACTCTGATTGGAGAGTACATTTACGTTATGGTGGAGATATGCTCACAAGAAACATGATAGGCGTAAACTGAAAGAGTGAACTAAGTCCGCATCATAAGACTACATGTTAAAAGCTGTGCATGTATTCACTCTGAATAAAGTGAATCAAATTCCAACAACTAAAATACAAAGCTTCTTGTTTTATAGTTTGTGCTTAACTAAAGTTGTTGATTATCTCTGATTAAAAATTTAATAAAAAATAATTGATTGAAAATAATAGTTAAAATACGAATTTAATAATATTATTATTAATAGGTTTTCCTTTTTATTTTTTTTTATTTTTTTTTTTTTCTAGTCAAACTTCACTTTTTGGTCTAAGAAATTTTAATGTTGACCTTGATTTCTATAAAAATTTTATAACATATTTTAGCTTCTAATTTTTTTAAAATTATAAAATTAAGCAATTGATGAAATAATGAAATAACAACAGTGAATCAAAATTTTATATTAGAGGCTTCTAACAACGTATGTATTAATATATATTTTGTATCATTTTCTATATTCTTAACTAAAATTTATTTTAAAAAATCATTAATTTCACTCATTAACCAAGAAATAAAATCTAGATAATTTTTATATTTTTAACATATTTGTCTAGGGTAGAAAGAGGCTTTTTATATAAATTATTTTAGATATGATATATTACTCAACCTATGTAAATAATATTAATGTAGAAAGTGTGGTACTTTTTATATTAATATTGACTACTGACTATCATCATCAAAATCTTAATTTCATAATTGCATTATTGCATTCTCAAGATTATTATTAATTCATCATCTATTAACTTTTGGCACACGTGTGTCATTTTCTTATGAACAGAAATACTATAACCCTAACCAATGAAATATATATATATATATATATATATATATATATATATATATATATTCGAATAGTTAATAGTTATGTGAAGTTCTAAATTATGATTAAGATAATGAAAGTGTTGCCTAACTACAAGCATGTCTCATTATTCGTTTGGACCTTTCATTGCCTTTAATGGATTCTCCTTTTGGATAATCATTTCTTCACAGTGAATTTTAATTTTCTCTTCCGTGATTGCCTGTATAATTGCTCTAATATCGAAAAATTAATCGACACTTAGAAAGATATGTGATTCTTTTTTCGACGGTATGAATACAAATATTTTGTTTTTGTAATGCTCACTTAGTTTTGGCACATAATGAAAACACTTTACATCACTATTTAGGAAAAAAAAAATATATGTATATATATATCACATTTAAGTTAAGCGAAGATATTTATTTTCGTAATCTTTTAATAAAAATAAATTTACATAGTTCATTTAAAACGTCACTTAAACTTTAAATTATTTGTTTAGTTATCATGTTCTGTGTGTGAAATATTCACCACCAATTTTAGTAATGACTAATTTTTATTAAAGAGTCTAATTAATGGACTTATTTTCTTATATTTTGTGTTCACAAAATATGTATAGTTTCAAGACTTTTGCTTTAAAAAATTGAGATCAGTTTCACTCAAATCATAATAATGTTGGGAATCAGTTTGTTTAATGATATATACTACAAAAACGTATTTATCAACGCAAACAATCCGATAGAATTAAATTAAAAAAATGGAGGTAAAATTTTATTATTAACGAATTTTCAGACAACAAATGTTTATTAACAACGTTGAAATAGGTAAATTTTGGATATATTTGTATTCGTAGGTAGCGTGTGAGTACATGTATAGGTATACTTACCATCTGTTCACAAAGTTTAACTTTCCTTGCTAGATGTTAGATGTTAAGTAGGTTATGATATAAAAAATATATTTTAATTGAGATAAGATAAGCACAACTTCATTTTTTAACTAATTGAACAGGTTGATAAGTTTAGTACACATTTTAATTAGAAATATATATATATATATATATATATATATATATATATATATATATAAAGATATATTCAACATTCTTGAACAATAACTTCTATATGGCCACAAGTAGAAGTTAGTGAGACTTTAAACCTAAGTAATTTCTAACTTTTCATTAATAGAATAACCATGTAGATTATATTGGCTTGTAAAAAATCAAAAAAACATTTTTTTTAACTTGTTTTATATTGCATGTTAGATTAATTATATTTTATGGTGTTCAATTACAATCAAATTATATTAATTGAGTTATTATATTTTATGTAGAAAGAATTATACCTGACTATTAATTATAATTATTACTCTAATGGCAAATACTTAATTCAACCATTTGTATCAAAGTCATATTCACATATTGGATTTTCAATGGAACAATTATTGAAAGAGAGAATGTTGTATTTTACATCAATTAATTGTTTCACAGAGTCAAGTGAGCCAAATTACAATTAAATTATAGCAATTGGGTTGTTATGCATTTAAATGGAAAGAGATGTTTTTTTAACTATCAGTCATAACCTTTTGTAAGGGTACATGTTTGATCTAACAAATTACATGATTAATGATATACTAAAGGCAAATATGTTTACTTACAATGAGACAATGAAAGTTAACTATTTTCAATCATGTCCAAATATTTTGTCTTGTCTTAAATATTGAAAAGTGTTATGATAATATTGTTACACACATTTTCTCCACATGCATAACATCTATATAATATCTTATATCATCTACCTTTCTATATAGGAGACTGAAGATCCACTA